AAGAATATAGAAAATTGTGTGGCTAACCCCACTCTAAAATGGTTTAGTGGCTCACACCCACTTTATATGTATTTATTATACCTCTGGGACTTTTCCCATGTGCCTTCAGTTAGTTTGAACCCCAACTGATTCCCAGCAAAACCTGATTGCGGTGCATGTCACCACTGATAATTGGCTGACCCAAATGGTGAACTAAATATCACGTTTATTTTCATTTATATAATTAATTTATATTATTGATACTATGACCTACCAGATGCCTCTATTTCAGCCGAACTTAAAATCTGGCTTTTTTTCTGCTATTGCAGAATCAATACCTAAGGCCTTAGCTGCCCTACAGGAACAGTCCAATCCTGTCTCCAAGGCAACATTACAACGCCTCTCTGACTCCGAGGAGTCGCTTGATCCATCTGATCACGAGGCTGCTCTCCGCAAACACCCTTGGAAGTGTGATAGCGCATCAACCGGCAAAGGCAAGGCACCGGCTAAGGCTCCTAGATTGGCCAGTTCTTCCCTACAACATCTCCCAGACCTAGACCCTTTAGAGGGCTCTATGTCACATGGTCTACAGACAGGGCCGGACTGGGAACAGAAAGCAGCCCTGAAAAAAAAAAATATTCCAGCCTTATAATTCATCGTGCCACAGAGTATTTGTGTTTTTTTATCTTGATGTGCTTTGGGAGCTGTTATATTGTTTCTTACCCGCAGTCCCTCACTCCATATGATCTATGGGTATTACAGTGCTGTAATACCCACCCTCCTGGCTGACATACACAAGCTCACTACAGACAAGCTCCACAACGCACACAAGCTCACTACAGACAAGCTCGCTGACACACACAAGTTCGCTGACACACACAAGCTCACTACAGACAAGTTCGCTGACACACACACACACACACAAGCACAGTACAGACATGCTCACTGACACACAGGCTCACACAAACACACATAAGCTCACTACAAACGCACTGAAACACACAAGCTCACTATAAACATGCTCACACACACATAAGCTCACTAAAAACTCACTGACACACACAAGCTCACTATAGACATGCTCACTACAAACAAACTCACTACATGCTCACTGAAATGCACACAAACTCACTATAGACAAGCTCTCTAAAACACACAAAAGCATAATACAGACAAGCTCACTACAAGCACACTGACACAAACAAGCTCACTATAAGCTCAGTGACACACACTCAAGCACAGTACAGACATGCTCACTACAAGCTCACTGACACACATAAGCTCACTACAAACTCACTGACACACACAAGCTCACTACAGACATGCTCACTGATACACACACAGAAGCTCATTACAAACTCACTGACACAAGCTCACTATAGCACACACACAAACTCACTACAGACTCACTGACACACACATGCTCACTACAAGCTCACTGACACATAAGCTCACTACAAGCTTTGACACACAACCTCACTACAGACATGCTCACTACTCACTGACATACACAATGTCACTAAGCTCACTGACACCCACTCAAGCACAGCAGACATGCTCACTACAAGCTCACTGACACACACATAAGCTATTTGTTGACATTTTTTCACATGTTCTCTAGGGGAAATAAAATGTGACATTAAATTTAAGGACGATAACTATCCCAGAAAATCGTGAACTACATCTGAACCTTTTATCTAAATATTAAAAAGGGACTATTCACTAAGGTGTGTATTGATGATTTGAGAACCACCTTTAAGACCACAATAACAAAGTTGGGGGAAAAATTCCAATTCTACTAAAAAAGATTTTTTTTTTTTTTTTACAACTTGGATATTTGTCCTAAGTATTGAAAGACAATTCATCAGCACAACTCACTTTTTATTAAACAAGCCCCTTAATATTTATATCAATGGTAACATGCGTCCAACAGGTGATTAGAAACGAATTATTAACTTCAGAATTTCAGTTTACGGTTTACTATAAACTGGTGCTTAGTGTATATACTCCACAAAGTTTTATTAATTAAACCAGGGCTGCCCAATAGGTAGATCCCCAGACACTGTAGTTCTACAACATCTGGGGATTTACATTTTAGGCAGCCCTGGTTTAAACAGTGGATTGTCTGAAATTCACAAGTGTCCCTTTAAATTTAAAGTCTGTGGTAAATTCCTGCCAATTTTCAGTTTAATGAAAAAACCTGCCAGTGTTTAGGGATTAATTCACACACAGAAGCTCACTACAAGCTCTATATACACACACACACACACACACACACACACACTAAAAACTCACTGACACACACACTAAAAACTCACTGACACACACTGGATCACTGTAAGCTCAACACACACACACACTAAAAACTCACTGATACACACTGGATCACTGTAAGCTCAACACACACACACACACACACACACTACAAACTCACTGATACACACTGGATCACTACAAGCTCTATACACACACACCAAACTCGCTGACACACACTGGATCACTACAAGCTCTATACACACCAAACTCGCTGACACACACTGGATCACTACAAGCTCTATACACACACACCACAGACTCACTGACACACACCGGATCACTACAAGCTCTATACACACACACACACACACACACACACACACTATCAATCCTGGGCTGCTTACTGTACCTGGACTTAGAGAGCAGTGAGAGTATTTTTCTTGAAGCTCATCCACTTCCTGTGTGAAAGGTCACCAAGGAGAGGCTGGTGGCGGAGCTCTAGTGCAGGGGCTGGATCTGCAGACTGTCCATGCAGAGCTGGAAAGAAGAAGCTTTTGTGAGAGAGACATGCAGGTGCTCTCTCACTTCTCTCTGCTGCAAACCAGCTGTCACCGGTTTCTGTTACCGGCCTCTGGCAGCCTCACTGCTGCCATCCAGCAAACTTTCTGCCCCAGCCCAAAAAAAGTAATGTGCTGCACTGCTGGCCCCAGGAGCACCGGCCCACCAGGGAATTTCCCGGTATCCCGGTGGGCCAGTCCGGCCCTGTCTACAGATCGTGAACGAGTATAATGCTGGCTATTCTGATGACGACTTTCCCTTTGATAACAGAGCCAACGCTCCTTCCCAATATGTCATAAAGACTAACATTAATCAGTCACAGAACTCTGTTAACAATTCTCAGCAAAACCAGTTCCACACGACCCTGCTGGATTCCCAGGGCCAACCCTTTTTTGACCAAAGACTTATTAAAAACCCTCACTCAGCCGAATGGGCTCCATCTGACCATACTGCTCAGTTTTGCAAACTATGGTTACATAAACCCCTGGATAAAGAGGTCAGGAATAAACTCAGAGCCGAATGTCCTCACTCAATTATCCCCAATTATCGCTCTCACACCCGAATTTGATCCTATTCTGATCACATTTCTTAGTAGATCGGGTAAAGACCCTCAAAGGGGCATTTAACAAGGCCTTAAGGCCGTCTAAGATAAATTGCTCGATATTGTCAGGCCGCTTATTCAGATCTTCATTTTAGCTGAAGATGCACTAGCAGACAATTCAATTGACCCACGCCTGGTGCATGAATGGGCGCAGAGCGCCCTTTGTTTATTAGGCAATGCGAATGTGGCCATATCCACAGAATGGCGTAAAGCCATTCTATATAAAATAGATGACAAGCTAGTGGAATTAGGCTCACGAAAGCTGGGCCCTGAGGCTAACGTCCTCCTATTTGGTGACAACTTTATCAAAGACCTTAAAGAGTATGTTTCGATATTTAACTCCCTTACTAAAGCCAAATTATCACTCCGCAGAGTATTCCGTTCCCATCGTTTATATGGGAGAGCCGATCACCATAGAGGCCGAACCACCGGCAGACAAGACTTCTCTGGCTAAAGGCCTCGACCTACAAAGCCATGGAACTCTGGTCAATTTTAAAGACCTTACTACAGGCAACTTTTTCCTGGCAGAGGTCCCATCAGAAGACGCGGGTCTGCTTCCCTACGCGGATGTATTAATTCAGGCAATCAACCTTCTTTATTTACGCTTTCCTATAGCAGGCAGTCTAACCTATTATTTTCCTCAGTGGTCTCAGCTAACGCAGGATCCCTGCATCCGCCAAACAGTCTCAGGTTCTCTCATAGACTTCGTGTCCAACCCTTTTTAAGAAAGACCCCTAATACCACTCAGGCTGTCCCAGCCCAAAAATGCGGCCTTGCACACAGAACTCTGCAAACTAAGGGACAAGGAGGCTATCGAACATTCAACCACATGCCCAACATTCCTCAGCAATATCTTTCTAATAAAAAAAATTAAAAATCCGGGGAGTTACGTCCGGTTATCAACCTAAAAGGAACTAAACGTTGTGGTCACTTACCGTCACTTCAAGATGAAGGGATACATATTTTACGCAACCTTCTCTGCAAGGGAGATTAGTTATCCCACTTCGAACTCAAAGATACTTAACTAACGGTCCCAATAACCTTCCCATCTGTGCTATCTCCAATTGATTTGGCACCACGATCTCTGGGAATTCACCTGCCTCCCGTTCGACCTCTCCTCAGCTCAGTGGTGTTTCACAAAACTGATGAAACAGATTACGGCTCTCCTCCACTTTTAAGGCGTCAAATCCATCGTCTACCTCAACGAAATCCTGATTATGGCTCAAGACCCTCTCACCCTTCAACTTCACATGGAGATGACAACCTCTCTCCTCCAAAACCTCGGTTTTGTGATAAATTTCAAAAAAAATCTTCTCTGGTCCCCTCACAAACTGTACAGTTTCTGGGCTTCCAAATACACTCCATTAAAGCCAGTGGCGTACACACAACCCATAGGGCCCCGGTGCGAAAACTGATCCGTGGGCCCCCCAACGCTTACTCTGCACACACTAACACGTTTAAAAAAAAAAAATTGAATCCCCCAGCCTCCCTACCTTTGGGAGTGCTGAGGGGATTCACTGGGGTCCAGTGGTGTTGCTGAGCGGCCGTCACCGGGCTGGCTGGCTGGCGGGTGTGCGAGGGAGCACTCTCCCTGAGTGCTCTCTGTTCAGCTCCCTCACGCGCACTGATGCCAGAGCCGGAATATGACATCATATTCCGGCTCCGGCATCAGTGATGTGCGCGAGGGAGCTGAAGAGGGAGCACTCAGGGGAGAGTGTGCTCCCTTGCGCGCCCACCAGCCCATGCGCCGGGTGACACCAGGGCCAGCCTCGGGGGGCCCTGAGGTGGCCGGCTCCTGGGCCCCCCAGGAAAAGAGGCTGGCCACACTGGCGTGCATACCGGGTCGCAGGGTGGCCCGGTTGCAGTCGCGACCCCTGCATGTACGAGACTGATTAAAGCTATTCCACAACTCCCGTCCTCCGAAATAAAGACTATTAAAAAGGACATTTGAAAACTAATTGTCTCCCCTCGCTTCTAGCTTCGTGATCTAGCAAGAGTCATTTGCCTCCTGTCAGCCTCCATTCAGGCCTTTTTCCCAGGCCCATTACATTACAGAGTAATGCAATGCCTCAAGGCCTTCTACCTGCGCAGATCCGCTTCATACGATCAAGTGAACGCTCTGACAGATGAAGTCCGCTTGGAAATCAATTGGTGGCTTCACAATATGGAGGCGTGGAATGGAAAGCCGGTTTTCGGCTCACTGACTGATTTCAGTCTCAGGTTGGGGCGCCACCTGCTCGGATCTCTCAAATTGATTGCCGCTCCTTTGCGGTAGCATCTTTGCGAAAGACGCATACAAGTGCTCACTCACTCTGAGGATGGACAATATCTTGTTTGTTACGTCAACTGTTTAGGAGGTTCCCGCTCCAAACTCCTTTCGGATTTGACAATGGAACACTACCAATTCTGCCTGGCCAGGAACATCTCCTGTGGAGTACTTACTAGGTCCGGACAACCTGGTGGCAGACTGGTTCTCATCACTGAAGAGACGCCAGCGATTGGCAATTGGACCCACAAATCTTCCACCTATCTCGTGGCCCTCTACAACTGGACCTCTTCGCCCCCCTCCTGAATCGGCAGAGCGAGGCCTTTTTCAGCTGGCTGCCGGATCCATCCTGTCAAGCAGTCAATGCATTCCTACAACCGTGGCCGAGCTCAGGGGCCCTTCTTTTTCACGGATACCTTGACTTCTTCAGAAAATCAGAACTCTCAGAGTCACAATACTTTTGATTACCCCTCTATGGAGGGCGCAACCTTGGTATCCCAGTCTGTTGGAACTGTCTGCAGGCTTTACTCTCCTCCTTCCTCGAACTTACAACCTTCTCCAAGGCCCTTCAGGAGAGTTTCATCCTCTCCTCCTTAATGAGCACCTTCAACTCGGGGATCCTGGAATGTCTCAGGACTTTCTAACACTGCTAAAGGATTATTATTGGATTCC